AAGGCAGAGAGAGGAGTCTCCAACAGGTAATTTAAACATCAAGTTACTCTTTATAAAGTTTTGTTACTAATACAATACACAATCATATCCCAATTTGTTTTAATAATAAAAACTAACCATCCATTATAAATGTTATGTCCTAACATGGTACATTCGATGAATGGTACAGGAATGGATCGAATTCCCTAATCCATCAGCAGCAGTGTCATGCCCTTTCAAAATCCTTACACCTCTTCCTTGGCCATGAGTACTGCTGACACCCCTACCTCTGGTGCTGCCACCATCACAATGAACACCAGAAGTACCACCACTATAATGAGTATTCAGCCTCAGGATAGGGGGACTCAGTGGCGTACTAAGGGGGGGTGGTCCGCCCGGGTGCCACCAGGGTGGGGGGTGCCATGAACAGCCCCGCCGGCCCCCCCCATGCTGCATCCGCCCGAGCGCTCTGTAGAGAGCCTCAGGCGGCTGCAGCTTTGCCCGGGCGGTGCGTCCATGAGTGCGGACCGCACCGCCCGGGCGCAGCCTGAGGAGAGGGGCTGACAGGAGGGAAGCGCTCAGCGCTCAGCCCTCCCTCCTGTCACTCCCTCTGTAGTAGCGTGGCCGAGCCCTGCAGCATTGATGGTCCGATGGGTACAGAGAGCATCTGTCTCCTGTACCCGGCCGGACAAACAGGAAGTACACACAGAGTGTGCACTTCCTGTTAGTCCGGCCGGGTACAGGAAACAGATGCTCCCTGTACCCGCGGACTATACAGGGCTCGGCCACGCTACAGAGAGGTGGGGGGGGTGAGAAAGGAAGGGGGGGTGAGAAAGAGGAGAAGGGGGAAGGGTGAGAAAGAGAGGGGGGGTGAGAAAGAGGGGGGTGAGAAAGGAGGGGGGTGAGAGAGAAATTAGGGTGGGTGAGAATGAGGGGTGAGAAAGAGAAAGGGGGGGTGAGAGAGGGGTGAGAAAGGAGGGGGTGAGAAAATTAGGAGGGGGGGAGAGATATTAGGAGGGGGGGAAAGAGAAATTAGGGGAGAGAAATTAGGAGGGGGGGGAGAGACATAGAGGGGGGAAAGAAATTAGGGGGAGAGAAATTAGGGAGGGGGGTGAGAAATGAGGGGGTGAGAAAGAGAAACAGGGGTGGAGAAATGAGGGGAGAGAAATTGAAATTAGGAGGGGAAGAGATATTAGGAGGGGGGAAAGAGAAATTAGGGGGGAGAGAAATTAGGAGGGGGGTGAGAAAGAGAAATTAGGAGGGGGGAAGAGAGAAATTGAAATTAGGAGGGGAAGAGATATTAGGAGGGGGGAAAGAGAAATTAGGGGGGAGAGAAATTAGGAGGGGGGTGAGAAAGAGAAATTGGGAGGAGGAGAGATTGACATTCATCACATACACACAATGCACCCTTTGAACACAGAAAAACACACAATGCATTACACACACACACACAAACACAAGCAATGCAACCGTTACACACAATGCATCCCTTACACACACAAACACACAATGTATTCCTTACACACACTCAATGCACCCCTTACACACATTCAATGCATCCCATACATACATAGAAACACACCTTGCAGCCCTTACACATACAAACACAATTTCACACAATGCATTCCTTACACACATATCAGGACATCCCTTACACACTCCACCCCCTGTGAACAAACTCATTGGTGGGACATGAAGGTGGACCCTGGGACCCAGACCTTGAGCTGTGTAAAGGACCCCCAAAAAATGGAGCTGCTTCCCGTTCTCCCAGAACATTGATTTTTGTGACCACTACCTCCAGAGAGCCTGTTCTGCACCAGACCAGTGGAGTCAGACTGCAGCTAGAGCCCATCATCATCCTCATCTGGTTGTAAGTAGGCAATCTAGTATATTATTTGTGGCACTAAGCTCTAATTTACCTCACATTCAAGAAACACTATAGTCCCCAGAACCACTTCAGGTTAATGTAGTGGTTCTGGTGTCTATAGCCTGTCCCTGCAGGCCTTTTAATGTAAACACGGCGGCACTGCAGCACTGGCGTTAGTTAACATGGCAAATCATATGGGTGGGGCATTGTGATGTCACATGGGGGGGGGCGGCAAACTTTACTTTTGCCTAGGGCGGCAAAAATCCTTGCACCGGCCCTGGCTGGAGGGGGCGGTGTGAGCTGTGGCCGCACAGTGTCCCATGGTAGTTAGGGTGCCGTGCGGCCAGTACAGGAGGAAATGTGTATGTGTGACTGTCTGCCTGTGACTGTGTGTGACTGTCTGCCTGTAACTGAGTGTGTGACTGTCTGTCTGTAACTGACTGTGTGACTGTCTGCCTGTAAATGTGTGTGTGGGGCTGCTCGGATTTTGTAGAATGGGGGGGTTTTGTATTGGGACAGGAGTCTTTATAAGGGGGGATAAGCAGGGGATTTGTGGAAGGGGTTGCGGGGGTTTTGTAGACGGGGCAGTACAGGATTTGTAGAAGGGGCAGGACAGAGGTTTTGTAGGAGGGGCGGGCAGGACAAGGGGTTTTTAGAGTCTGCAGCGGTTTTGCAAAGTTTACAAATTGTTAAAAAAAAGAAAGAAAACCTTTAACATTTTTACAGGTTTTTTGGGGGGAAAGGCACAGGATCTGCCCCGGGTGCCAAATGCTCTAGGTACGCCCCTGGGGGGACTAGCATGTCCATTATGTCCGATTCACCACCTATGAGGCAAATGTTTTTTTCTTTGGTCATGTGATACTAATTCAAAGACTAAAGTAGCAGAATAAACTGCAGTTGCAGCAACAGCAGGTTTTCTAAAGCATGGAGGAATCCCCAAAACATAGATTAGGAGAACCTTTAACAGCACCAGCTGGACTGAGCCAACTAGCACTAGTCCTTCTAGAATCCCCAAGAAGTGACTAGGGAAGAGATCAACCTGGGCCCCACAAGCCCCGTGTGTAGCGGCAGAACTGTGTCAATGTGTATGTGTGTGTATCTGTGTGTCTGTATAAGTGTATGTGGAAGTGTATACACTACACACAAATGCACACCTATATTCAAACACTAACATTCACCCACATACTCCATACAAAAACATGCTTACATTCAAACACAATTTTTGTGTGTATACATATATAAACATACACACACATATACATATATCTACACACATATTCATATATATAAATCCATAAGCCTTAGCATAAATATATAAATAAATGATTACCTGGTGCTTGATCCACACGTAAAATAATAGTGAAAAAAAGGGCCAGTACTCCCAGGAATTTCTTTATCTTCTTTTGTAATCCACAATAAGAGGGGAAATAAACTTTACATCATGTAGTCAACGTTTTAGTTTGGCTAGCAAAGTTTCACCAGGACCTGATGGTCAGCATGCATACAGTTCTCTTTTTGACTCAACTTCTAGATGCTATTGGAACATTGTAATATCTCTGCCTATGACATTTTTTACAATACTTTAACATCCTAGTGCTTACCTAGAAACTCTATCTCTCTAGATTTCCACTATTTGCTATTATGGAATTTCTTGTAAAGAACATTTTCCCAGACACGTTAAGCATCCTTTAAAAAAATGCATTTCTAGGTAGGCATATAAAAAAACTGCAACTTACTAAACTGCAGTCTCACTGCTTAATTATCTGCCATCTAGGAGTTAAACCACTTTTGTTTCTGTTTATGCAACTCTGGTCATACCTCTTCTGGCTGTGACTAACACAGCCAGCATGAAAAAATTGTTTCACTTTCAATTAAATAGTAGCTTACTTTAAAAATATTTATCTCCTGCTCTCTAAATTGAACTTAAATTACATACAAGAAGTTCCTGCAAGTTCTAGCAAGCTAACAGAGCAGGAGATAACACATTCTAAATTAAACATTATTTGCAATAGAGGAAGTGTAAACTTTAGATGACTCTTTATAGGAAATGTTTAGGAAGGCAGTGCAAGTCACATGCAGGAAGGTGTGACTAGGCCTGCATAAACAAAGTGATTTAACTCCTAAATGGCAGAGAGTTGAGCGGTGAGACTACATGGGCATAGTCTATACACCAAAACTGCTTGATTAAGCTAAAGTTATTTTGGTGACTCTATTGTTCCTTTAATGGGTGGGGGACATAACTGAACATGTTTTACATCTCGATAGTTTTGTACATGGCTATATAAATTAACAATATTGGCTTGCCCACTGCAAGGACTGGCAAATTTGCTTGTTTTTTTAACCAATGAATTTAAAATTTGGTATGTCTCATCTGTATGAATGTGAAATCCATAAAACTATACAAAAATTGCTAGCTCATTTATTTATTTATAATCTACAGGTAGGAATAATATACTTATAAATCTTATGGTTATAATGATGAGCACAAATGGAACCTAATTCTGCACAGAATTATTCAAACTCAGTCTGAGGGATGCCTGTCTAAACTGCTGCAAGATGAATGTTATTTGGTACATAAACTGAATAGAGCGATGTTTCTAGTATCGGAACTCAATAAATCTGAAACACTGATTTCTTTTGTTTTCCAATTTGGTCTCTATAGAGCAAATCAGTGTCCTTTTGGATCACAACCAATGTATTGGTTAAAAAGCTCCATTTAATTTTTTTTTTAAATCCTTAGGTTTGTGGCAGAAATACAAGATAAAGTTTGAAACACAATGTCTGTGCTCCTTAGCATATCAAGGTTGGAATATTGGGAAGATTTTGATGTGTTGATATTTCCTGTGCTGTGTCTTACTAGAGGTATGTAGATAATGCATACCAGTATTTTTTTTGAATTTGCATAAATCTGTGGACAGTTTTATTGTATTTAGTCTCACTACAAATTATTTGGCACAAAAACTGAGAAAGAATGGACAGAAAGAAAATAGTTTAGATACTTTAGTACTGAAGGGTCTCAATAGAGACAATAATTTATACATTATATAAAACTGGTGTATTTACACATATAGATATCTTCTATATGTAAAAAATGTAAAAAAAAAATTGTATCTTGTAATACCTTTTTTATTGGACTAACAGAATTTTTTTAATGACAAGCTTTCGGGAGAACCTCCCTTTCTCAAGTATGAAATGCTTCAGACTTGAGAAAGGGAGGTTCTCCCGAAAGCTTGTCATTAAAAAATTCTGTTAGTCCAATAAAAAAAGGTATTACAAGATCCAAATGTTATCTGTTTTTTTACATCTACATCACTGGACTAATACGGCTGCAATCTCTACTTAAAAAAAATTAAAAGTGGGTTATTTAACACAAATAATTTAAAAAAAAATATATACTTATTTAGAATGTTTTTTGTTAAATCTACTTTTTAAAGATTAAATTAGATAAAATATGTTTAACATATCAAATTAATAAATAATATATGATATGCTCAAGATATACTTAATAGGAATAAAATAATACCCCCAACTGATCACTTTTCTAAAGTCCTCAAGTTTATAGTTATAAAACCTTATGACTATTGATATAACATTGCTGATGAGTATTATTTTCTATAACGATAAGTTCTAGATTTATTGTTCAACCTTTATTGTTCAATTTCGTGGAACTTTGGTTCTGTATCATTTTTTATACCTATTCCCATTGCACAGATTCATAAAGCATAGACCTACTGGGTTATTGAATAATGTGAAAATCCAACGTAAATTCAAAGTGAATTTCACATTTAAGGTCTACATAACTGAACTGGAAAATGCTGGTAAACATCAACCATGCTTTCAGTTCAGCTACTCTTGACTTAGAGGGATAAAATGAAGCTGTTTTGGTGTATAGATCATGCCCTTGAAGTCTCACTGTTCAATTATCTTCCATTACAGTAGGAGTAAAATTACTTTTGTTTCTGTTAATGCAGCCCTAACCACACCTCCCCTGTGACACAAACAGTCTGCATGAAAAAATGGTTTAATTTACAATCAGATATTACTTGCTTTAGACATTTTTATACCTTGCCCTGTAAATTTAGCTTTTATTACGTTATGGAGGCTTCTGCACAGTCTAGAAGGCTATTAACAGAGCAGGAAGTAATAAATTCTAAATTAAACAGAATGTGCAATAAATTAAGTTTAAACTCTCTTTACGGAAAGTGTTTAGGAAGGCTGTGATGAGTGAGGATTGGTTAAGCAGGATCCAATGAATTGCATTCTCTCTCACCAGTTATTAAAATACATTGGTTACATTTGAAGCCTTACTTGTGAAACGCAGCTGCCTGCCTTGTTCACAGAATGGAAAGTTTATAGTTGACAATCTGAAATATTAATCCTAATCATGATGCCTATGTGTACGGGATTGAACAAAGCATTGTACAAATGATGCCTTGTTAAAATTGTTGAGCAACTTATCAAAGATGATATTTCAAAAATGTTATTTAGACTTTTGATCATTTGGAATAGATTGTGCTAGTAGCTACCATCTTTTATGGTTCTTAGGTCCATTCAAAAACACTAACATCATATTGTCCCCTCCAGCAGCTTTGAAATCCAGAGCTGAAGAGGCACACAGTTGGGGTCCAGTCCCCATCCCTCCCTAGCAACGCCCATGACTTTTTCTATATTGAGTTGTGATTTGAGTAGTAAAATTATTTAATGTTTATTGCCACCAGCAAGTTATGAAAATCCCAAATCTGTAATGTTTTATTTTGTGCAAAACAGATGTTTGTCAATACATAGAATTAAGACGTGGAAAGTTATTTCATTCTTGTAACAGGAAGACAAACTATGAATAGACTCAATATAACAAGCACTGCTTGGTATGATGACACCTCACATGCGTAATAATAACTTACATCTGCTGCCTAGGAAGACAGATAGTGTCAATTAATATCTGGTCAATAAGCAGCAGACAACAATATATACATCAAGAAGAAGTGAAATTCAGGAAAAACTGCAGTGCGGATATATTTCTAAAATGCAACACAGCACTAGTTATACAAAGCTTGCATAAAGATACATTAAATATCAAATAGCATTGGAGAGGTGATGGGCAGACTGGGTTGGCAAAAACATGTTCTACACAATCCCGTTGGCACACTCAATGTTTCCATCTGGTAAATATTACAGAAGAAATGCAACTCTAAAATAAGTAGTGATCATTTTATATTCTGGAAAATAGCTATTTCCTGGAGGAAAACACAATTTGCTTATGGTTTGAGACTGGAAAGAAGCAAGGTACTATTGGAAAACAACCTTATCGAAAATAATTATGATTGTCTTGAGTTCTTCTAAATTTCCTACTCCAGGAATAGGGAGGAAGAGGTCTAGTCCCTTGTTGTCTCTTGGGGTGAGCATTATATCTTACAGCTACCAGGATAAGATGGTGTTAGGGTTGCCATATCCACCATGATTCTCTGAACATACATAATTTCATCGAGTTAATTGGCTAGCTGCTAGACACAAAATGTTCCTGTGCAGTATGTAGAAGGTACAGATTACAGAAGTACTGATTGATTTTTTTTTAACCTTATTTACTATCTGTAGCATTTAACTTTTGTGGCCCATCATTTAAGTGATATGTTTCCTGTAAAACAAGGTGAATCTATTATCTTATGATAGGGTTGCAAGTTTTCTGAAACATTTAGACCTTTTGAGTTTCTGTCCCTTGTTACAAAAAGATATCTTGTGACGTGACTCGTCATTTACCTGGTGCCATAAACAAGCCACTGCCTAAAGCAGGCACATTTTGTACTTTTTTCTTTTGATTTTCAACTGCATATATTACGATTAATGTAATATTAGAACTTATTATACTTTTTGCCTGTTACAGTTTCCTTAACCCCTTTAAGACCCATATGTTAACATTATGTAATAACATGAGATTTGTCTAATATTAATCCTGAAGAGGATGGAATAGAGCTGACTGCATTTGTTATTGACAAAGGAAGCAGACGATAAACTAAAATTAGCCCCCAACATAGATACCAACCAGTCCCCCACACAACTACATTAATTAATAAATTCTATGTTATGACTACCATAAAAGACAATGCAAATGTATACATAGATATTAGTTATCCCACTCGTTGACTCGTTTCTTTTGCCAGAGAGATCAGCAACGTATTCTCAAAGTTTAAAAGTTAAACGTAATCTCTTATCATATAATCTGCAATAGCAGGTATTTCTTTAAATTGCAAAGGTCCAGCCTTCTGCTGCTGTAAAGTGTCAAGTCCCGTATGGGGTTCAATCTCCCCCTATAGAGAATGCATGTCTCTTCATTTCCATGGGTTCTCACTAAAATTCTTGTAGATGTTCTCCAATGGAGATGATCATTTTTAATTGTTTTCCAGTATGCTAACATTCCATAGTTATCAATAAAAAACATACACATCCAGACCACAAAGCCATTCTATTACCCTGAGAGATATATTTAAGGGCACTTGGTTTCTTGTCCTTCTTCTCTGATCAATAATGTAACGTAGACACCAAATCTCATTATATTCACTTAACAGTACACAACAAGGTAAGGACCTGATTATAAAACTAAACCAAGTTCAATACATCACTGGCAATTATATTATCAGTCTATTGTGGTGGCAAGTAGGTTAGATCCATTCAAGGTAGGAAACGAACACCTACGTTGCTCATAGTTCGACACATGTTTGTGCTCAAAGCAGATGATCAGATTGTCAACAAAGTCTGTCATATGATCCCATGATGACCAAACATGTAAGAATGTCTGTATAGTAAAATGTGGGACAGTAATCTTTATATTAATTGCTAGCAAATCCATAGCTCAGTCTGATTCAATCTCAGTGTAGTATACATAAGAAGAAAGTGGTTTTGGTTTCTTTAAGGCCGAAGTGCTGAACTTCCCATCCAAGCAAGAGACAAAGCTTCTTATAAGAATCCCCAGAAGCGTTGATGTTGAAATGTCTAAGCCACTGGCTTAGATGGAAGGGCGTGGAGGAGGCCTGCTTGGGGGTGGTGCTCTACTTGGAGGAGACGCTAAAGGAGGTGGAGGGAGAGGGCTTGTTGGAGATGGTGTAGGGGTTATGGGTTGAGGTGCTGGGCTTACTGGAGGAGGAGGTGGTGTATAGATTGGGTTATGGGGAGGGATATATATTGGGCTGGATGGAGAAGACATTAGTGGAGCATTATTTAAAGGGTATCGTGGAGGCATCATTTTCTTTTCCCTGGTGAAGTTGATGCATCGACCCTGGAATAAGAAAGAGAAATACATTTTTTACTTTCTTATAATATTTTTTCAAAAATATATAATTAATGAAAAGCACAGAGTGAAATATATATATACATGCAGTATATGTACAAAACTATTGGGACACACCTCTTAATTATTAAATCCAGGTCTTTCAATCAGACCAATTGACACAGGTGTATAAAATTAAGCACATAGCCATGCAGTCTGAATTTACAAACATATATGAAACAAATGGGTCATTCTGAAGAGCTCAGTAAATTCAAACATTGTACTATGATAGGATGCTACCTTTGCAATAAGTCAGTATGTGAAAGTTCATCCCTGCTAGGTATTCCATGGTCATCTGTTAGTGGTATTATTGGAAAGTAGAAGCGTTTAGGAAGACCAGCAACTAAGCCATAAAGAGGAGTAAAGTCCACGTAAAGTCACAGAGTGGGGTCACCGATTGCTGAGGCGCATGGTGCATAAAAATGTTCTACTCTGCTAATTCCATAGCATTCCATTAATTGCACTGGCATTAATATCAGCAGGAAAACTTTGCAGCAGGATCTTCATGGAATGGGTTTCCATATCCGAGCAGCTAGATACAAGCCTTATATCACCAAGTACAATGCCAAACATCGGATTGAGTGATGTAAAGTGAGCCACCTCTGGACTCTGGAGCAGTGGAAACATGTTTTGTGGAGTTACAAATCATGCTTCTCTGTTTGGCAGTCAGATGTGCATGTCTGGGCTTGTTTGATGCACTGTGCCAACTGTAATTGTTGGTAGAGGAAGAATAATTGTATGGGGCTGTTTTTTAGGGATTGGTATAGGCCCCTTAATTCCAAAATAACATCTTAATGCTTCCGCAAACCAAAACATTTTGGACAATGCTATGCATCCAACTTAGTGGGAATAGTTTTGCAAAGGCCATTTTCTATTCCTGCATGATTGTGCCCCAGTGCACTAAGCAAGGTCCAT